GCCTGGGGGCCAGCCTGGCCATGCATGCCCTGTGCCTGGAAGCTGCCCACACCAAGCTGGCTGACATCCAGCAGCAGGCAGCAGAGCAGGCGGCACAGCTCCAGGGGGCAAAGAAGGAGAGCAGGAGGTGGAAGAAGTTGATTGCCATGCAGCAGCTCCTGCAAGCTGGCCCCAATGCCTACTGCAAGGTAGGAAAAGTGTAAGGGGTGTAAAGTGTATCCCTGTGCAGGATGCTCTTTGCTGCACTACGGCTTTGTAGCCCGCTTTGGTTACACCTTGGCCCCAGAAAGGTACAGGACAGTTCTGCTGCTTTCCCTAGTGCTGGTTCATCATCTTCGTAGAGACTGCAAAGTCCTTCCCAGCCCAGAGGGAAGCTCCTTTTTACTGGATGTGCAAACTAGAGGTTGTCAGAGCTGCAAGGAGTGTGGGAGAGGGGGCTGTAGAGGGCTTTTGAGAGAGATCTCATGAGATCCCTGTGTTCTGGGGCCAATCTTGTGCCAGAGGGACTTTAAGCATCCTCTGGACCAGTGGAAGATTTCAGGTTCCTCCTGGATTTGGTAGTGATTTTGCTTTTCCCCTCCCACTGAGCTTTGCAGGAAGCTTGCTGGCTGTGCCTTTGTTGTCTGCATCTTCCCCATCACCAGATCAACCCACCCACTCCTGGAGAGTAAAAGCCACCCAAACCAGGTGATTTAGATTCACAGAGCCCAGTCATCTGTGCAAGCACAAGACCCCATTACAACCAGGACCTCACTGGTGCTTCGGTCGCCTTATTGCACTGCCCTGTTGGAGAGAGCTGTGGTTTTTTCACTGAGCAGTATCCCTGCACCATCTTGGCTTCTACCTTCTTTTGTTTCAGACACAAGAAACTCCCATTACCCTCCATATACATGCTTCCAATACAACAGCCATGTCTCTTGAGGTCTTCAGTTTTGCTCTAAAGCAACAAAGCTTTGTCTGTTAGGCAGGGGACATGGGGAGTGCCTTTTTCTGCAGACCTCAGCCCCTCCACTGACTTTTGCCCGTTCTCCAGTGCCACCTCTGTGATAAAGCCTTCATGAACGACTCCTTCCTGCAAGCCCATGTGCAGCGCCGTCACGCAGAGGCCACCAAGGCAGGTGAGCACTGGGACAATTTGTCACTTCACTTGCCCAGACGGGATTTTCTCCATTGGATGTAGATGCTGGAAACCAGAGTGGCCACACGAGATTAAATACAACTCCTTATAATTTGTTCTGTCTTTCTGTGAGTATTGACCAAGTGTTTTCTGCCTTTCCCTCAAGCACAGGTAGGACGTGCAGTCAAACATGAGACTGCATGTACATTTACAGCTCATGTCTGTGCCTCAGTTCCCTAAGGATCTTCTCCACTCAGAGATTCCACACGATTGTGGGGACAGAGCTCTGTTGGGCAGTTTGGAGAAGTGATTTACTAGAGTCAGAGAGGGGTTCACCTTCCCCATGACCCTTTATTTTGACAAAGAATTGCTGCTCCTTTGAAAAATACATTCAGGTGTAACATGCTTTGTGAGAGCTGCAGAGCTTTGTCACAGCTTCACCTGCAGCCGGCATTTGAACCTGGCAGATAAAAAAGCGGCTTTTGCTGTTGCTGGCAGGCTGAAATCCCAGCCCAGGGCTGATGCAATGCAACAAGGCTGAACTTTGCTGCAGAGGCATTAGTGCTGCCTGAAATATCCAAACGGGGCTTTCACTGCTGGATAGAGCAAGCCCAGTGCAAAGCCATGCTGCTCCATGAGCCTCTAATCTCTCCAAGTTTACAAAAATCAAAATAAGTAAAAAATAATCAGAGGCCACATGGCCACATTTGTCATGGTTTTTTCTGCAGCTCAGCTACTTGCTTCTCCACCCTAAAACCCTACAGCAGTTTTGCTTGATAGTTTAGTAGGATTCCCCACCCCACCAAAAGCAAAATCCCAGGAGGACCTGGCAGATTGCACGCTTGCTCACAGCACCTCCGCTTCCCTGGGCTTTGCAGAAAGGCAGAAGATGAAGCAGGAGGATGAGGTGGAGGAGCTGAAGGCAAAACTGCAGGAAATGCAGCAGCAGCTGGAAGCAGAAAGAGAAGCACAGAGGGAAGCACAGAAGCTGCACACGGAGCAGGTATGGGGTGAGGGCGTTGCTACCAGTTTGGGAAAAATAGGGAGGGGAAGAGAGGTGATGAAATGCAGGGTGGTTTTAAAGCACAGGTGAAAAAGGTGCAGAAAATTATTTTATAGTGGGGCTCATGTTTATTTCCTTGGAAAATTTGCCCCAAAAAATTCCTAGAGGAAATGTCACATGAAGATGTAAGTGTGCCTGCCTGGGAGGCTGTGCTGCCTCTCCATGGGGTGCAGGCAGGCTCTGAGCAGTGATGGGTGTGATGAGAGTGCGACGGTCATCCCCCTGGCACTGAGGCAGAAGCCCAGCCCGTGGTGCTCCTGCTCTGCAGCCAAGATGTCTTCTGCCATGATTTTTTCACTCCCTTTAGGAGGCAGAGAGAGCACGCCAGCAAGAAGAGGAGAGCAGGAGAGATTTGGAAAGGTGGAAAGAGGAGGAGAGGATGAAGCTGCATGAAGAGATAGATGGCCTGAGGCAGCTCTTCCTTGCAACATTCAAGGATGTGGCCAGCAGGAGCAGTGCCATGGAGAGGGTGAGCAAGCATCCTGCATGCTTCTCAAGGCAGGCAAGGAGATACCCAAGCCAGTTGTTTCTCCTGGTCCAGGTAGCGTCACAGCCCATAGAGGCCTCATTTCTTTGCTTTTAGGGCATGCAAGCACTTTGGGGTTGGAAGGAGTGGCTGGCCAAGGTTGGACTCCCCAGGAGGAAAGCAGAGCCTCCTGTGGGGGACACAGAATCACAGAACTGCTGAGGCTGGAAAAGACCTCTGAGAACAGCCTATGACCCAACACCATTGCAACAGCTAGACCATGGCACTAAGTGCCACATCCAGCCTCTCCTTAAACACCTCCAGGGATGGTGACTCCACCACTTCCCTGGGCAGTGCGTCCCAGTGCCTGAGCACCCTCTCTGTGAGGAAGTGCTTCCTGATGTCTAACCTAAACCTTCACAGACACAGTTTCAGGCCGTGCCCTCTCGTTCTGTCACTAGCTGCCTGGGAGAAGAGCCCGACCCTCATCTGGCTACACCCTCCCTTCAGGCAGTTGTAG